GGGATTGTCCCCCAAAACAGCCCAAACCTGGGGATCATCCCCAAAACAGCCCAAACCTGGGGGTTGTCCCCAAAAACAGCCCAAACTGAGGGATTGTCCTCAAAACCACCCAAACCTGGAGGTTGTCCCCCCAAAGTGCCCAAATCTGGAGGTTGTCCCCCAAAACAGCCCAGATCTGGGGGTTGTCCCCCAAAACAGCCCAAACTGAGGTATTGTCCCCAAAACCACCCAAACCTGGAGGTTGTCCCCCAAAACTGCCCAAACCTGGGGGTTGTCCCCCAAAACAGCCCAAACCGAGGGATTGTCCCCAAAACTGCCCAAACTGAGCGATTGTCCCCAAAACCACCCAAACCTGGAGGTTGTCCCCCAAAACTGCCCAAATCTGGGGGTTGTCCCCCAAAACAGCCCAAACCTGGAGGTTGTCCCCCAAAACTGCCCAAATCTGGGGGTTGTCCCCCAAAACAGCCCAAACTGAGGGATTGTCCCCAAAACCACCCAAACCTGGAGGTTGTCCCCCAAAACTGCCCAAACCTGGAGGTTGTCCCCCAAAACAGCCCAAACCTGGGGATCGTCCCCGAAACAGCCCAAACCAAGGGATTGTCCCCAAAACAGCCCAAACCTGGGCACTGTCCCCAAAATGTCCCCCGGCCGCGCCTGTCGCCCCCAAACCCGCCCGATTCTGCCCCAAAACAGCCGCCCGCCCGCGTTGTCCCCAGTGCACTCGGGGCTGTTGTCACCAGAGGGCAGCGCCCGTCTCCCGGATCCCGGCATTCCCGCCTTGCCGCCCTCAGGAGAGGGGGAATTTGCTCTTTTATTCCCCGTTTCCCACCCATTACAGCCCCAAATTGGCCCGAATCCCTCAGCTCCCCCCTGCATCGAGGTTTAATCCCGCATGGAAGCGCTGCCAGAGCCGGGGTGGCAGCCGGGAAGGGGGCTCCCTGCTCTGGGAATGCAGCGGCATTCCCACTCGCTCCGCGGCGGCTCTGAATGGTTTTGGTGCAATATGGATGGGAAGCAGCGCCGGGAAGCGGGATTCCCTGTGCGCACCATAAAACCCCGGGATTTGGGGAAGAGCGGGAACAGAGCCTGGCGCTTCCCGAGAAACGGAAGGGATCTGCAGGGGCCGGCATTCCCGATCCTGCTCTTGAGGCTTGAAAAGGCCTCCAGGCTCCGGGGATTCATTCCCAGGGAGCCCCTGGAAGGACACGGAGCAGCAGGAAGAGATGCTGCCTCCGCCTGGAGCCCTTTGCTCCATGGAAACACCAACACAACGCGGAGGGGCGGCATTCCCAGTGTTTTATTCCCGCCGAGGGAATCCCATGGGCATCCGCGGGACGGGCTGTGTGCGGAATGCGGCGCTGCCACCGCTCTCCCGCATATCCCGTGTGGAAATCCCCCATTCCCGTGTGGAAATCGGCGTCGCCAGGGCAGTTTCTCCAGGTTTATCCCTTTTCCCACATTCCGAGCTCGGGGAATGCGGCGGAGCGGCGCGGGAAGGCGGCGGCCGGCGCCCGCAGCCATCGGGGAAGGGCCTCGTGTCCTGGGACGTTTCGGCCGATCCCGTCACCGAGCGGGCGGCCGCGCGCCGGGAACGCCGCTCCTAGGCCAGGGCCGCCTCGATGGCGGCCACGATCCGCTGCAGCTTGGCGTCCGTGTCCACGAAGCCGTCCCCGTTCTGGAGAGGGCGGCGGGAAGGGCGCCGTGATTCCCAGGAAACGGCTGCTTCCCGGGACGCGGGCGCTTCCTGGAATACAGGCGCTTCCCGGGACACGCTCACCTTCTTGGAGTGCACCAGGCGGCCGCCCACGGTCACCTCGAACCAACCGGTCACCTCGCGGGTCCCTTGGCCGCTCTGTGACCGGGAGCAGAAGTCACCCCCGGAGCCCCCCCTTGGGCTCCGGGAGGTGCAGCCGGGATTCTCCGGCGGGATGGGCGCTCACCATGTCCAGGCGTCCCGGGAAGCGCTTTTCCAGAGCCTTCTTGAGCTGCTGGAACTGGAAGCGGAGAG